CTTACACGAAATAGGGTGAATACATCTCATTACACTGATTTACTGGTAGTCTCGAAATCCTACTTTAATATAAATAAAAAGAGACTGGGAAATAAGCTAAGATATTGCATGCCTTATCATAAAGAGTAGTATAAAGATGAAGTATTTCGCCCTTAAAGAATATATTCACTCTCATGCATGACTATGCTGATTTAAAGGCAAGTAAGTTGGAACGTTAATAAAGTAAATCAATGATAAGGAATCAAATAATTGCATTATCTTTTAATGCAATAAAAATCGAAATTCTTGAGCCACTATTATCAGATGAAAATTAAGAGCATGTTTTCGCTTAAACTGACTCGGATGGGTCCAACTGAAGGATTCTACATTCAAATGTCCAACTTTTTGCTGAAGTATATGGCCTCACAACATGACAGCTGTTCCTAAGATGAATATAGCTTATATATTTAAGCATAATTTTAGACAAATATATGTAAGTGTCTATGTGTTTGCAAACCTGTGTTTACATGTATAAATTGATATATATCCTGTTTCGAAAAGATTGAGCCAATATGACCTGGTGACAATGACTACTGTTAACAACAAGGAAAAAGCAATGGAAATTTTCGAGTTATGTGAGATTTCAAATCGAACAGCATCGGTCAAGGTGCCCAATTCATATTTTTGCATTGATAAATTGTGTATATCTATATACATGCTTTAAATAGATAGTATTAAGCAAAATTTTGTCTTTAAGTCAACCGTCCTATGCTCATCTGAATCATGGGCTTAGATAAAACACTTATAATATTTTGCTGCAATTTACGCAAAAATGTGCCATGACTAAAGCAGACAGCCTTCCTTAAAAATTGTATGTTCTCCATAGAGTTGACAGTGTATAGAAATAAAAGTGAGAAGGCAGTTTGCAATAGAATAGTCTGGTGAGTATATGGTCGCATATAGACCTATCTAACAGGTAAAATTTAGCTAGCTTGCAGAAGTGATTAAAGAGAGAATAAATAAGCCAAGATCGTGGTTTAAATGCATTTTCATGATCAGTAGCAAGAACAAGCCCAATTTATATAAGCCAATGAATACAAGCAAGTAAATATCATCCTCTTAAGGAGGAATTACCGGAATTTCAGGCCAAATCTGCCAAGGTAGGCCATCCAATCGTCTCTGAACAACATGCAAATGTTTAGCACATTTCAGCTGGCCGGCGCTTCCCTCCATGTCAGGAACCCGCATGATAGTTGCATTGAACTTGGTACAACGTTCTTGGGGTGAGGCTTCTAGGTCGAGGCCTTCAACAAGCCATCTACCGAGAGAGTGCATCCAATTACTAGCTGGGATAACCGGGTCGATGTTAGTATTCAGGAGTCTCAAAGAACGACCAGGATGAGTGGCAGAGGTGCTATTACCTTTATTTATGCCAGTTGTTTGATGATATAGGCAGGCTGGAAGGCGACCATGTTGCCATGCTGTAGCCAAATAGTCGCGATGGCCACGAGGAATGTATACAACTTGGTCTCCAACTTGCGGAACGTAGGGACTAGCCTGCAAATATTGCATGAGAATATATGACCTCAATGAGGATTTTGGACTAACTTGGAAGAAATAAACAAGAAATATAATTGTAGAAATTGTTTGACCTTGTTTTTGCAACTTGGTCAAATTGGCAGGAAGACCTAGAGGAATACATCTTGTCCGGAGTGCATATAATGCATGCTAATTTCCAGTCTGACCATGGACTTGGTAGATTCCCAGACGTTTCGCCAGCATCGTAGTCGACATCGCCAATGAGCCTTGTCATTAATAGCACCACACTACAACTCGTCAAAGATAAGTCGATCCTTTGACCAAATGTGTGCTAAACCGTTGTGATATCTCTCCTGCCCTGGGCTATTTACCTATCCTATATCTTCAATATCACAATTTCTTACTTGTATGTATGGACCGATTTTGAATCTATACATACGTTGGGCTGGTTTCCTCATCCCTTCCACTGTTTCGAGTGTTGATCCAAGGCTGCGGTTTAATCCCCAATCCTTTCTCTTCGAGTCTTATCAGTCCCACCTTGCTCCGTATGATCCTTCCCAAATCTGCCTGTTTCAGTGATTTAACCCTATCTTTGCTATCGTATCCGTGCTACTCAAGGAGTTGTTCTACACTTTGTCTCAAGCCTTTGATAGCACGTATACACCATCCTTACTGATCAAGCTCCTAAAGTCTGGATTCTCATTAGGCATGGCAACCTAACTTGACGCTGCAGTTACCTTATCGATGTGCGGCATGTGCACTGAGTAAATGTCGTGGTCAAGCCTTTACTTCATGGACCACGTCTATGAGCAAACTTATCTATTAATACCCAACCAAAAATAACCACAACCGTTTCTTACGCTCTTCTAAGACATTCTATGGCATGCCAACCCCCAAATATTATGGTTCTACTTGATTTGAATAGGCCCATTGTAGGCGCTTCTTTTAGTTTCCGATAGTTTCTCTCTAGTCTCCTTGTAATTTCTTGTCCTAAAATTAAAAGTATTACCATTGCCCAGTCTTCTTCTTTTTGATAATATTGCTGTTCCCTGATCTTCTCCGAGTTTGTTTAGGTAGTATGCAAAGTTTTCGCTAATCCTGCCTTCTTCAAGTCTACTGTTCATTAGCTTTCTTTCAGCCAGAATATTAATGGCTTTTCGTATCTTACCTTTCCTTGTATTTCCACTATATGCAAACAGCCTTTCTGTCGATTTCGATCTTCGACAAAAAAATATAATTGTCGAAAAATTTGGATTTCCTCTTGGATCGTAGGGAGGTGCGCAGAGGATCTATTCCCACAAAGCTACAATCACAGATTAAAGGAAATCCACCTACAATTTCCGGTGAGACCAACTCACATCCTCAAACGAAATGAAAGGTATTCCGACATTTAAAAAAAATTAAATTTCTTGTTAAGAAAGTATGGCAGACAGAGACTTTCGTTTCGTATGAGGTTGCATGAAGAAGAGATTCAAAGGTCGATCTCATCAGAAGAGGACGTCATATTAAAGCCAAACGGATGCAGTACAACGGGAATCAGCCATCCTCTTCTGTGGAAATCGACATTCGAGTCTCTCCTTCAAGTACTTTTATAAGAAATGAAAGTCTCCTTGACAATATTATCACAAAAGATACATCGAAATCCAGTTAATCTTCCTATCTACAATGTATATATATATCGTGAGACTATAGTTAGATAAAATAACTTTGCGCTCTAATTAATCTAGTCGAAAATATTGGGTAATCTCATACTTGGTTGAATAGAATATTTATTATAAATTTCCAGAATAGTTAGTTACATTCAGAAATAAAAATAACAATTATTAATTGAATTATTATTGTTTTGATGGAATTATTAATAGAATTATTATCCGACATAAAATATCCAATCAAAATAAATACTTATATTAAACACTGGATGTCACAATTGGCCAATCCTTCTCTTGTCATATGAGTTAGCAAGGAACATTTAAGTATAGGAAAACAAAGACTGAGCTTAAAATCAAAAATATTCACTATATACTAAGGAGTTCGAAACATGAAATTAGTTTTTAGGTTCTTATATACTTGCCTGGGCTTTTGTAGAGGAGAGCCAATCAAAATGAGGTCCAGCCCATTGACTAGGATGGCAATCGTCTTCAGCTATAACACACTGTTTTTTGCCAGTCATTTCTTTTTCATTCGTATATATAGACGACTCGCTTGACGTCTTGATGTCGAGAGAGCCGGGAAATCGCCGCTTTTCAGGTGATGAAGGAGGCATTTTATTATCACAAGAGGGTAGCAGTCCACCTACATCAATCGCTTCCAGATCTGTGGCATTAGAAAGGTCAGATTCTTCTGAGTTTTCGGGTTGATCAAAGCCGCCTGGTGGTACATTTTCCAAAGGAAGGGAACTGTGGTTCTGACAGAAATAGAAATAGACAAGAAAGCAAACATCACAAGATCGAAATTATCCATTTTCAGACTGCATTTAGTTGATGGACTTCCAACTATATTAAAGATGATTATT